TCTCTCTCTCTCTCTCTCTCTCTCTCTCTCTCTCTCTCTCTCTCTCTCTCTCTCTCTCTCTCTCTCTCTCTCTCTCTCTCTCTCTCTCATCCTAATTGCTCTCCTCTATACCTTACCTTTCACGGAGAAGTCCTTTTGGTTGAGGCCACCTTTCTACACACTATACAGTTTGCTAACGTGGATGCTGTTGTGGCTTTCTCTTGTGCTTTTTGTGGATGCTGTCGTCTCTTTTGCCGTGGGCCACACTTTCTCGCGCTGTCGTTGATTTGCTGTGCATCTGTCTCTCACTCTGATTTTTAACCACTTGTCTCACACTTGTTGTGTCCTCGCATTGTCCACCACGTGGCTGTTTGTCACTCTCTTGTTTGCCACATGCTCTGTCACGTACTCTTTTGAAACACGTTTGTCTGTCACACATTTCTCTGTCACACACTTGTTTGTCTACACGCTTCTCTCTCTCTCTCTCTCTCTCGCGCGCGCGCGCGCGGTGGGGGGACCGAGTGCACACATGTGCATGCTGGTCTAGGCACTCTGGTTTGTTTCCGTGTTTGTTTGGGCCACTCTGGTTTGTCAACGTGCGCCTTTTTTTCGCTTTTTTTTTTTTTTTTTTTTTTTTTCCCTTACTGTCACACACACACTTGTGTACATACGTGAGAGCAGTATGCGCACCGGAAATGCATTCAGCGGTGGTGTAACGAGAAAGGCGACACCATATGCGAGCTGTGCCATCAGGTAGGTGCGCCGCATCTGGACTTCATTTTGACCTGACATGCCCTTGCCTTGCCTTGCGTTTCCCTCTGGTGGATGAATTGGTCAACGCAGGGTGAATAGTCAGACCAGGGATTTCCTTTGACTGAATTTGAACGGTGTTTATGGGCATGTACATGCAGGAAAGTCGTGGTGTTTAGGATACATTGAGGGAATGTGGCTGCCGTCTTCATCCGCATAGAACGCTGGTCATTATCACTCACTGTACCAAGACTGAAAGTCGTCCCAAATACACGCGGCGACAATGACCGAGCTTTCTATTCGTGTGAAGAATATAGGTGGAAGACATGCATAGAGAGGAGGGTCAGCTCTTTTTTTTCTTTTTTCTTTTAAAGCTGCTCTTTCCTCATCGAGGGACAGCCATATATTTTTCTGTCTCCTCACATATCTTTTAACTGGCGTTCTGCCATATGTCATCATGGAACATATCTTTCTTTTCAGAACCTACCTACCACTACTCCTAAGGCTATACAGGGTCAGCTCCGCAACCTTCTTGTGTTTTTTAGTTTTTTCAACTTTTTTGTCTTTTTTGTTTTTCCTTTCTTTGTTACCACGGACCAGATTTTAAACAGATCAGAACAGATACTGTGCACTTGATCTTACTTAGCCAAAAAATGCCGAGAAAGGTACAACCTTTTTTTTCTCGTCAGATCAGAACAGATACTGTGCACTTGATCTTAGCCAAAATGCGGAGAAAGGTACAACCTTTTTTTTCTCCTTTTTTTTGGTGGGGTAAATGAGGTTCTTGTATTTTCTGCAATCCATCATATTATTAGATTCATCTGCTTCCATGAGGATTTGTAACTTTGGACCTCCGAGCTTTCTTACTCTCTGTTATCAGAGAGAGAGAGAGAGAGAGAGAGAGAGAGAGAGAGAGAGAGAGAGAGAGAGAGAGAGAGAGAGAGAGAGAGAGAGAGAGAGAGAGAGAG